TGGTTGTTTTATGTTAGCTGAAAAGTAAAGCTTAGACAGAGTTAGCTGAAAAGTAAACCGATCATCGCCGTCCAAAAAAAAAAAAAAAAAGTTTATTTTTACCGATATTTTTACTCCAGCATTAATTAAAAATATGTAAATGATGTGTTGTCACGAATACATAGACGTCTAAGCTTGACCCCTTTATTTTCGATCATCCAGTGAAAGCCGGGGATTCAGACTGTTTCGAAACCTGATATCTGCATGGCGGTGTGCACTTATAAGCTCTCTCGCAAAGCATTTGTGAAAATAACAAGTTATTTGTATCACTGTTATTTTTGGAATAATTTCTTGAATTCAATCGCTATCTGCGTCTTTGTGGACTGGAATCTCTACTCAATTCTGTTACCTGCAGTGCTAAGTTTGATATCTGTTTCTGTAAATATTGGGTGATATTATTATTAGATAGTAGAGAAACAATGCAAGCTACCTGAGATAGATTGGGATTTATTTCTCATATCTTGTCAGTCATTGTCGATAGTTCGGACAAATCATCGCTACTTACTGACAAATTGCTCCGCATATTTAGCGGTAGTCATTGAATCTGTAATGTTTTCCAAAAATTCATCCGGCACCTCCTCCGTCGCCAAGTCGCGCATTTTGCAGAGAAGTTGGCATGGTTTCATGTCACTCAATTCAAATTCAAATAGAAATTTTTGAATTTTCAGTGATTCAGAATCGACAAAAATTTCAATAAGCCTCTTTTGGATAAACCGTTAGGATTATTAAGCCTAACGGCTGGATATTTGCCGTCGTCTGATGACGAGGATATCAGCGATTTGTAACAATCTGTAAAACTGTCTACATAATTATATTTTGTTTCATCAGCCGTAACTTTGGTGTTGTGGAACTGTGCTTCGATTTGAAGAATCTGTATTTTTGGGTCAAATTTACAAAAGGGAAGAATTTTTAAACTTGCCCTGGCAAATGTGAATCTCTCCGATGTTGTTTCAGCATTCTTGTTTGTAGACATTCAATAGCCGAGTCACTAGCTTGAGATTCTTTGATCAAGGACAGATGTATTATGATAATATACTAAAATAATTTTTCTAACAAGATAACAGGAGTAAAACAAATGATAACGAATTTGTATTAAAACTATAATGTTTTATTTTAAACTCTTTTTCTGTTGTTATTTGTGCAAAACGAAAATCACTACGCGAAGAGGTTGACAGATGTCTCTTCCATATTGCAAATGATGGCGACACAATTAATACTCAGAAAATTGAATTTAAATAAATTTCAGTTTATCACTTTTATTCAAGTAGATTGCGAGATTTATTGTTTTAACTTTGAAATTTTTTAGAAAATTTATTTATAATATGATGTTTATATCTATTTCTGCTTTTGCAAATGTGAATTGACTATTATTTTGATAATGCACATATAGTATATATTAATGCATCTAATTCAAAATAATACATTCAAGCGAAAGATTTCGAAGCTTTAAAAAAACGAAAAGCAAAACTGGAAAACTACGATCCGATAATTTTTATCTTTTATTTTGTTCCACGGATAAATATTGCGGAAACCATTTGCAATATATATGTATGAAAAATCCATTTTACGCTTGCAATAAATAAGTAGGGAAACTTTTACGACTGTATTTATATCTTCCACTTTCCCGTGCCAAATATTTATGGAGTTACTCCTTTTTTAAAGGAGGTCGACAGTTTCTCCGTCGAAGATCTTATATTAAGGCCGCCATTTCGTCGAGACCTCCTAAGCACTTTTGCTGAAGAGATTTGCAGAGTTGACAGAAAAAGCTCCCAAATCTCACAATAAATCTGCACCCTCATCCTACTTATATCCCCAAAACTGGTCGATTCGTGAAAGGATTTAGAGGAACACTGTTATTTCAATGCTTATTCGAAAGAGATTCCATTTTCTAGCTTGCTAGTTTCTTCTTCAATAGTTAAGATTTAAAAAATAAGTCATTAGTATGAAATATGTATTGATAATTGAGGAAAATTAATTAATCGGTAATCTAATATATTCCTTATGTAATTTCATGAATCTTTACAGTATTCCGACATATGTTACGAGCTCCACCAGCGGCTATCCGTATAACACCGCTGAATGAGCTATCAAGCTCCTCCTGCCGCTCAGCTGGTACAATGGTTAATTATGCTGACTGCCATATTTAAGCCTGGATTCGAATATAGAAGAAGGTATAGATGTATGTAAGCATACAGCGTCTGTGCGACAAGGGTTCACCGAAAATACACAACGAGCCAAAAATCCTTTCGAGAATTTGGGGGTAGGGGAAGAATAGTGGGAAAGTCTAAGGCTGCCTTTCGGAATGTTGTTCCGCAAAAGTGGGACGGAAGTGCAAGGTTAGGGTGGTGGTCTATAGCTGTAAGTCCATTGGCGAATTTTTGTTGTGCCGCCTGCTTCTACCTAAATTTTGTTGCACAAAATGGATTCCATTTCCTAGGTTGTTAAACAACGATTCTATTTTCTAGAAGATTTAAATAGTGTTACGGATTTGGTATTTAAATAGCTAATGTTAGTTGAATTATAAATTAAATTGTTTATGTTCACCGTGCAGAGCAGCGCGTGACGAATATTAAAGGAAAGCTAAGCCGGAAAATTAAAAATACAAGAGCACGTGTATTTAACATTTAACATAAATAAATAGCCCTTTTTGATTTCGATAAAGTACTAGAAAATTCTCGCGCATTTTAAAAGCTCATATAAAAAGGAGGAAACCCTCTCAATGGGAGTTAGTTAGTTAGTTTTTTGTTGTTTTAAGAGTTTGTTTAGAAAACTGCTCTTGTTGACTGTAGTGAATTCGCGGATTAACTTTCGTTAGCTGTTTTGAATTACGTTCTCTTCAACGTTTGAGTAGTTAAAAGATAACTACCGTGAGATACTGTAAAACTGCATGAATATCTGAGGAAATTTAAGCATTTTTGTTGTGATAATAATAAATTTTGTTCATTTTTCATTGGACTTGTGCATTCATTTCGTAACGAAACCGTACACACGCAACAATTTTTGGTGTCAGGAGTGGGGTTTGAATGCCAATAACAAGAGCGATGGACGAACAGTTAAGGCAGTTGATATTAGCCTTTGCCTCTTTTAAAGAAGAAATTAAAGAGGAGATGAAATCTGGTCGGAAAAAGATGCAAGCTGGCCAAGCTGCATTTAAAGAAGAAATTAAATTGGGCCAAGATGCAGTCAGAGAAAAGACTGAAGCAGGTCAAGAGAAGATTGAAGCAGGACAGGAAGAGATGAAAAGGGAAATTACCTGCATAATAGAAAATAAATTTGAGACTATGGAAGGCAGAATGGACGCGATTGAAAACAAAGTTGGGCAAATTGAATAAAACGTTTCTTCTGTCAAACAACAAATAGAACAGAGAGTTTTGGCAGTAGAACAACAAATCGATTATAGAGTTTCTTCAGTGAAAGATCAAATAAGAGAAAGAGTTTCCGCTGTGGAGTAACGGATAGAAGGAAGAGTTTCTGCCGTCCAACAACAGATTGGTGACAGGGTTTCTGCAGTTGCTAGAGAAGTTGATAATTTAAAGAAATTCGTAGCGACAGCTCGTCCCTCTCCGAAGCTATCGACATATGATGGGAAGACCTCCTGGCAGGTGTAATGGACACAATTTTCTATCGTGGCGAATGTGAATGGATGGGATTCCCAAGCTAAAGCCTGTCATCTCGCCGCTTTTTTATGAGCAGACGCAGCGGATCTCCTTCAGACTCTTCCCGAAAACAAAAGGTTAGATTTCGAAGCTCTGTCCGGCGCGTTGGAGCTGCTCTTTGGGGAGAAGTATTTAAAAGACTACAGCAGGCTCCTATTAAAATTTCGTCAACAGAAGCCTACCGAAACACTTCAAGAGCTCGCCACGGATGTTGAAAGGCTGTCCCATCTCGCCTTTTCGGAATGCCCGACAGAAACAAGGGAAATCCTGTCCCTACAATACTTCATCGAATCGGCATCCGGGATTCTGAAGTACAGAAAGCTCTGCGAATGGCGAATGTGAAGGACATAAAAAGCGCTTTGTTGTACGCCATGAAGTTCGAGGCAGCCCAGCAAGCAACTCGTAGAGATCGCTACCCAATCAGAGCTGTGCGAGTCCACGAGCCAGTGGATCAACTGATGGCTCGTTTAGATGATTTAGCCAGAGAAGTTAATGCTTTGATACAGAGCAGGAGTGAGAACAAAGTAGCTCTAAGGTGTTGGAAATGTAGTATTGAAGGGCAAATACAACGGCATGGCAGAACATCCTAGGGCACGGATAATAAAACGGATGAGTTGACAAGACCAGTGAATGCCTTGATCGAAATAGTGGTGAAAAGAAACCGACCTTAAAGTGCTGGAACTGCGGTGTTGAAGGCCGCCTATGAAGGAACTGCAGAACACCCCAAAGCACGGAAAATAAGGCATGCAATTTAAACAGACAATTAAATGCTAGGGGACGGAAAAGGATTGACAAGAAACCAAAGTTCTGGAACTGTGGAGCTGAAGGCCACGTACGAAAGAATTGCAGAACTCCCCAGGGTATGGAAATTGAGACCATTGCTCAACAACGACGCAGGAAACAAATTAACTCACTAGACGACGGGAATTCGATTCTAATTATGTTCCGAAAACTGCAATAATAAAGAACCATGTGAGCAAAAATTTTTCCTTTTAGCTGAAACTAAAATAGTTGTAAAAACGGCTATAGTAAGATTTCCCTCCCCCCTCTTTATAGGACGATCAACAAGTCCTTTTACCTAACTAGTGGCCTTCCTATTGTTAAATTGTTGTTCACTGATTAGTGCCTAGAACCGGTAAAGTAGGTGGTGGCTTATCGAGGATGAAACAAGTTCTGTCTACGTGCTTTGGTCAAAAGAAATTTTTTTTTTTTTTTTTTTTTTTTTTTTGGGTGTGTGTGTGTGTGTGGTGGTGTGTGTGTATCAAGTTTTATGATGTTCATTGCTAATATATCTTAATTTTCCAGGCCATGGCTCGAGGACAACTGAAAATCCAATCCCAGCAAAATGCTGCCAAAAGAGCCAATGATTTAAAAAGGCAACAAGGCCATGATGAGAAAGCTGCCGCCCAAAAAGCACTAACTTATGTCTGCACTGTCTGCAAGGTAAATAGTTATTCTTTTCCGTACAATTTTATGTCTGAATTAAAATTGTTGAAAAATACTTTTATTTTAATGTGCCTTTTGTAATGGTTTATCAAAAATGCTTTCTAAAATATTTTGTATTAGGCAAACCATTTATTAAAATTGAGTTGTAAATTTTGTTTAGTTATTTAACATAACAGATTATGTTCGCTGGAAAAGGAAGTTCAATGTAAAAGAGTATTAATGTGACAAAAAACAAAACAGGATTTATCATTGCCAATACCATTAACAAAGTGGTATATTTTTTCCAGTGTTCAGGATGCATATACTATTTGAAAAATTAAGATTCATATCCAGAAATTTAGAAGTAAATATTGCTTTTAATACTTTAAAGCAGTCGCTTGTGCAGTGAATCCCTTTTTAAATTATTTGAATGTCATTAGTGGAGTGCAATAATTTGTAATAACTATTTATTTAAATCGTGTAGTTTCCATCACATTGTCAGCCTGGAAAACAATATTAAAATTTAAAAAGTTATGCTTTTTAAATTAATTTTAATTTTTCTCTGAAATTTTTGATTGGCATTTGTTCATTAAAGTAAGAAATCTGAGTTTTCCTTTTTCTTTTAGGCACAGATGCCAGATCCCAAAACATACAAGCAACATTTTGAAAATAAACACCCAAAACTGCCTCTGCCTGATGACTTGAAAGATGTTTAATTTTATTTTTTTAAGACATTTTATACTGTGTGTCTGGAAAAGCAACATTTGTTTGAGTTTCTTTCCACTTGTACATTTATGTATGTTGTATGTTCCTGATTCTTAATGTTTAGCAAAATTTTGTACAATAAAAGCAGTTGTTAATGTGCTTGTATGTCTTGTCATTTGTATAGTAATTATTATGAGACTTTTTTGGGGGAATTATTTAATTTTATAGTCAATTAAATCAAAATCTTGTAATTTTGAATGAGGTAATTTTCATAAATATAAGCTGAAATTATGCTACGTTGACCATAAGTATATTTGACATGGCTTTTAATTAGAATTAATTGGCTTTAAGAAAAATTATATATCTTGAATGCATAAAACCTATAATATAAATCATAAAAAAAATTAATTTACATCAAATTTAGAAATTCAGGTAAACTGAATTTAAATGTAGAATAGACATTTTATAATATATGATTTTTACTGAAAAGATCTATGTTTAGTACAAGTTTTTTGTTTTCATTTAATCTCAAATTTGAATGGGTGGTTTCAGTAATTTTGAGAATTTTATCATAAAATTCTGTAATTCGTTAGAAATATTTTTAAATATATCAGTAATATGGATGTCTATAATAATACAAATGAACATTATTTGTAAAATTGTTTCACCAATGAGTTAAGTAATTTTTATAAAAATTGGTAACTCTGGATTGGTGTAGATTTTATATAAAATTCTTTTAGGTGCATTTTCACATAGATTCTTCATTTTCAAGGAAGGGGGGTAGAATTTATTTGCTGCTTAACAAAGGAAAATCTACATTACTATCCTGGAAATCAGAAATTTGTAAAATCTGAATAATAATAGTCCTCCTTATTTATTTCATGTCTATGAAATACTATAAAAATTAAAAATTATCTTGCTTATAAAATTGTCAGTTCTGTGCTTTGTTGAAAAACTCTCAAAGTCTACTAGATTTAGGAATCTGGAACTTTAAAAATGAGTAATATAGCATATGCTCCAGACGGTTGCAGGGATATTATATGGTAAATCAGAACTCCTGCACATGCCACTAGAATGGAAGTTACCCTATTTTAAATCCCTATTTTAACTCTATCTGCCAATGCATCCAAGGTAAGTGCAGCATATATTGAGAATGATGAAGCAGTTACAAGAGACAAATATTATACAATTTTTTGTGTCCATCGGCAACTCTGGACGTATGATACGTGTCATCGGTTTGCCATCACCGATTTAGGAATTTGATTTTTTAAGCAACTCGTGATGCACAAAAATATTTTATGCTTTGCTAATAAATTAAATTTTTCATTAATTGTGAATTTTTTTCTCCTTGTTGCATCTTTCTGATATAGAGGATCACTATTTAACTGTGTAGAAACATAAAGGTTATTTTGAAGGACAAAATGTGAAATGCCCTCACCAGGACTCAAGCCTGGTACCCCTCAAATACACAATGTGCTATCATTGCACCACAAAGGCATGCTGGAAGGAGGGAGAAAATGCTTTATAACTGAAGCCCTAAAATAAGATTTTTAATGGGTAATATGTTACTTTGTTAAAAATTAAAGTTTGACTTTTAAGGAGAAACCTGTGAGAAATTAGATAGTCACTAATGTTAATAGATGTCTGTTATTATGTAAAAATTTAAAATATGAATCGCTGCATGCCAAGCAGAATAAAGTAAATGTTAATAATCAAAGTCTAAATTTAATATATTTTCAGATTTTAATAATTCACTGGGAATGGGATTTTCTAATGAATAACTTACTCATTATGCAGTAACAATTAATAATTTAGATATATATTTTAGTTTCATAAAAATGCATATTTTGAATTTTTCACTATAGTTTTTGGAATCAGAATAAATAAACTTTATTTATACTGCATCGAAATTTAATTCTGATGAATGAGATCTTAATAATAAGAAAAGGTTTATCCTAAACTTTTAACAGTTAATGTTTGGTTTAAGCCACTCTCCTAACGCTTCTTAATTTTAGCTTACAACTTCCGGCCAGAACGTGTTTTTAGAAGCGTGGTTAAATGCAAATGAACGAAGAACAAGTATTAAATAAAAGTACATTAAGTTGAAGTTCTAATGACTTCGTTAGAGAGCCGGATATTCTAAGCAGCGCGAGTTTGCCTTTTAGGCTGCTCTCTCTTAAGCTATTATTACGCTCGGCCTTAGTTTAGGTTCTTGATAGTTTCGCCGTTTAGTTATCGCTAAGGAGCCAACTCTGTTAGAATCTTGATAGGCTTCGGCTATATCCTTTTAGTTAAGTTTTATTTCTTAGTATTCATGAGTTCAAGCCCAAGTGTGGTTTGAAGGCTAATATGTATTAATCGAAAACTCGATCTGAAATAAACACTTTAGTACGGAATTTATTGGATTCCTTGTTATTTATAGTATGAGAAACCGTCCCCGTGAAATTATACTAGCTCGACTCATTAAAATCACTACACACTGACTTTGTTCTAAACATCTGTAGATAGATAATATTATGAAAAAAGCAAAGTTTATCCTTGAACGAGTTTTGAATCATCGGGAAGTTACTTCACTACCTTTGAATAAATATATATATATTTTTAATTCCATCATAGTATTGCTACAATTAATAATTTCATAATGTTTTCAGTTTTTATTTGCTTTTTGTGTACTTCCGTGATATTTCTTAGTGACCTTTGCTTTATTATAAGTTTCTTCCGTGTTCTTAAAATCTGAATATGTGTAAATGGTTCACATTTTTCTTTCATTTTGAGTGTTTTACGTTTCAGTTCTTAACTGAGACGTTTTTGAAAGCGTCCATATTATTTAATTATGACAACGATTTAAATTAATGATTTTCAACGTTGCCATTTTCAAAACTGTGAAAGACGTTTCTGCAAACGTATAATTCGCGTCAACTTGCAATATACACTAAAGTTATATTTACTTATAATATACATTTAAGCTTTATAACTATGATTTTAAGTAGATTTTGGCATTATCGTAATTATGTCTAAAAGTGTCTTTATTATAAAAGTACATTGTTGCGTTTTACTGGTTCGTGGATTTGGAGTAATTGACGATAACACTTGATGAAGAATCCAAACACAATTTATTCGCTAGTATTACACACGAGAGTTGCAAAAACACGTTTACAATCGTTGAAAAACTACGATGAACACGCTGAAAAATCAGCAACACAGCATTCAGGCGATAACGGTGAAAACGGCTTCACGGCTAAGTAGTAAAATACAACTCTCGACTCGGTTCGGTCGCTCTCAAGCTTATCTCTGAACTCAAAACATTACTATTGAACTCAACATGCTCTTCTACTCCACGTAGACACAGCGTATATATAGCTTTTTACCTGCCTTCGAGAACATTCTCGCGACAACCGGTAAGAATTCGTTGTAGGATGTTCTTGCTCCGTCTATGGCATATCACCGACTTTGTCGCCAAATGGGTGATTTCTGGACAAATTTGGCAACCCTCCTTTCTTTGCAATTTTCTGGCAACCCTAAAGCCGCTTTTGCGGGGAAGCTATCTTACCACCAGCTGGGCATTTCGTAACAGTATTTATTTTGGATGAATATTTTTTCTAATTTTCTTTATTAAAACCTTTGTGGAGCCTGAGGCGCAAAGCAGAAAATTCGGTGAATTTTCGTACTGTATGGCACTTGGCGTCCGCTAATAGTTTTGTAACATTTGTTAATCTATATATCTGAACACTACATTGTACTATCCAGATATTCAAGTGGCTCGTTGACGACACCATCGCAGTTTTTCGCGTCGATGGGTTGGCGCTAATGGTAGCCTTCGCAAAGGGCGGCTTGTGTGCAACCGCTTTCAGCCAAACGTCGAGAAACTGTTCTACCAGACATTTGGAGCATCCAAAGCTCCCTACCCCATTCCGCAAAATCTCCATAGTAGTCGATTGTAGGGCTGCCACCGCTTCGTTTCGTATGCGGCTATCTGTGCATTCTGCAGTGCATCTACATGAACTATCGCGACTATTTACATTTCCATCGTCGATCCATCTAGACATCCATCCATCTAGAAATTCTATACATTCTACTTGAGTTTCAACAGCGATATGACTGCAAGACCAACCAGATACATAATTTAAGATGTCTGCAGTTATATTCCTTGTAAATATTAAATCTATAAATGAATCGCCAAGTGTACCTGGATAATATTTGGCACCGAACTGAGATTAAAATGATGTTTTATAAAATCAATTACCTTTGCATTTCGTTTGACGTCTGCACTGAAATCTCCCCTTATAATAATAGGACCGTCTGTATCTACATTAAATTCTTCATCGATCCATAAAGTAATCTCAGAAATGTACTTAACAAGAACATCTTCAGATCACCCGAATTAACAATTGGATGAATGTACACGGATGCTAGAGCAAATCTTGACTATCCATTAACAATTACATCAACCATACAAATATCGCCTGCTTCCGAATCCTGTATTCTCTTACGCTGCTTAACAGCAAACTCTATTGGTAATCTGCTACAATGTCGTCAAACTGCTAAGAAACGCATCACCACTAGCTTGGTCAAATAAAATAAAATACAGTAAACCCACTCGAGCACACTAACTGTCTATTAGGACGACCTTGCCACTCACATGCGGTCGCGCATGCGCACGGAGCTTCATCAGAACTTCGCTATCCTTAACGCCTTATGATGCGTATACCGTTTGTGCAATTTAAAAATTTTTGTGCTAGCTAATGTGCTCTCTCATCTATCTAATAACGTATTTAGATTGATTGTAATATTTGTAGTTTCTAGGGCCGATCCTAGCGGTGATGGTGCACAGCACGTGAGTGGCCAAATTCAGCGTGGCAAATGATTGATTATTAATAAAATTATATATCTGTAAAAGAAGACGGTCAATATGTATTGCAATTTTGCATGTGGGCGGCCGACGGTCTAGGATCGACACTGGATATAAGCGTTCATGCACAGCTCAAATAGCGCCTAACTTTTGCTTTCTCATCAGACATTATGGACGAACATAATCCTGCGTTAAAAAATAAAACATAAGGCCTTGAATTATCGCTGATAAATTATTTTATCTTAGAAATTTGTTTACGCTTT